TACAAGCTTAAATTTTTCATGGTTTTTCTAATATGAAAAACACAAAATATACTTAATTTAAAAACCAAAAGAAAGGCTAGATAATAGAAAACAGAGATAAATGTTTTGAAAATGTGAAGAGGACTAAGAAATGAGGGGAGTGGAGGGATAGAAAGGGCAGAGGATGAAACAATAATTAAGATGTGTTACGTACATGTACCAATTCCCCAGGCTGAATGTTATTGTATACAGAAAACATGTACTAATAAAAATAAATAAGGCATAATAATTATGCTATCACTTAAATAGATGTACGAAAAATTTGAAAAAAATTAAACACCATCTTATGATTAAAAACTGCCAGCAAACTGGAATTATGAAAGACCTAATTCAACCAGATACAGGCTATCTATAAAATCCCTTTTGTTAGCATCATTTTCAGTGACTAGTTATTGAATGTTTTCTGAATAATATCAGGAACCCAACAAGGGTACATACTGTCATAATTTCTGTTCTGTTGTATTAGAGGCCTTAACTATTTCTATAAAGCAAGACAGAAATTCAAGATAGAAAAGAAGTGAACCTGGTATTTTTCATAAATACCATGATCACTAATGTAGAAAATACTAAGAATTCTATAAAATAGTAATAAAATAAATTAATGACTCTAGCAAGCTCATAGACTATACAAGCAACATAATGTAATTATATTTCTATATGAGATGTGATCAAAATATATGATGAATATTTACATAAAAATTTATTACTGTTAAAAATACATTGAAATTAATGAATTTCAGAATATCCCCTCTCATTTTGAACACACTTATCCTTATCATTCTTGCCACTTCTTCAAACTGTTCTGGACTCCTCCTTAGCAAGTGTCTTCACAAGCTTTTATCAAAAACAGGATGAATGGTGCTACTGATTGACATCCAATGGAAAGGCAAGCTCCTAAATGCACCACAGTGTGTTGTCATCCACTTTATTCACTGTACCTGGCACCATGAGATTTCTGGCCCTTCCACAAATTTAAAAAGATCATGGAGGGTAAATGCTTTGAATCCATTCAGGATCTTGATAACAGCTTGAGAAAGTGGCAAAAAACAATGGAATAAATGTATTCAAAGCAAAAGGGAGAATTTTGACTGAGGTTAATGGCAATTTGTGTTTTTATTGTAATTTAAAAATTTAAACATTCACTGCATGTTTCAATCATACCATGAACAATAGCAGTGGTCATACATTTATTGTATGTTACACAAAATGCTTGAGCCATAAAGAAAAACAATCATACACTGTACTTTATCAAAATCACAACAATAGCTCTTTGAAAAATAATGTTGAAATTATGAAAAAGCTTACTACTGACTATTTGGGCCACAATATTTGCAGAACATATATCTGACAAATAGCTTCTATTCAAACTATAAACCAAAACTAACCTACATTGGAAAATGTTGTTGTATGAGGTGAGTATTAAAAAGGAAAAGATGTTTTTGTCTTACATAGAAGCTCTGAAGGACTAATTTACAGGGCTATTCGATAGAAAAGTATCCAAGGATTGAGGGATAAGTCCTCTATGTCACACTGAACTAAAAAATGAATGACCATTAGCTTGTTCACTGGAGAAAAGACCTACAAGGTGAAATTAGAAATGATAAAGATAGATTTAACTAAATTCTTCTCAAATCGATGTCTCCATTACTTTGGGGTTTTGATGTTTGTATTCTTATTTCTTTGCCCACATATAACTTTTGTTAATAACAAAATCATCAAGGAGTTGTCATATTTGTTAAGTAGTAATGTCTAGGTTATAGCTCTTCATCCTCATATTTAGTGATTGGTCACCAAACATGCATGAAAAATGAGCCTCATGCAAAACTTGACATTTCACACATCACATTTTCATCCATATAAACTGAGGAAAAGCTAAAAAAATTTGCTATTATTTTTCTAAAAACATGTAAGTCAAACATTCACTAGGTAACTTTCTACTCTAATCTGCCTGTCTCTTGACTCATACGTGAATTAAAACCAACAATTACAGTTTCAATATCTATTTGACTTTTAGAAAACTTCAACCACAAATTCCAGCCTTAAAGTTATATCAATAAATGTCACTACTTCATCTGCTTTATTTAAACACTGAGTACATTTCATACAGCTGCTGAGTTGACAATATGTATTGGATACCTATAGTAAGCAAAGCAATATACTTTCCACGTTATGTGGGAGACACATGGAAAGTTGTTGAACTATACATAAGCACTGGAAAAAAAATCTTATAAAAGGGGAGCAAACACACTCCACACACATATACAAGGGAGGAATTCACATAACACTCTTTTCTGTTGCCACTGTTGCAATTCCAAATCAGATCTGATCTCCTCAAACTGAAAATACTGCAACCTCTAAAGCTCCAGAAATGTCTTATTCTCACCCCTTGGATCCAGTGCAAACTCTTCAATCTTCCAGATAAATCTGCTTAAATTTCCTATTCCAGTAACCTCTGTTCAATGGGAATTTATTGGTTCCAATCCAGTACAAAACCAAGTTAAAACTCCAATTCAGAAAAGGACATTCCAGCCTCAACCTATTTTTTCAATCTCACCTTCCACACCTGTCCAAGTAAGTTATTCTTTCATTTCTTATTCTTTGGATTAAACCACATCTTTCTTTATTACATTCTCCTTCCAACCTATATGTGTTTTTCACTTACCAACAGTCCAAATACTACCAATACTTCAAGTAATACATTGAATGTATTACACACACATGTATAACCAAGCATAGTATCTTTCATATAATAGTCACTCCATATATATTTGGTCAATGAAATTGAATTCATAAGAGTGAGGGAGAAGAATGATAAGGCAGAAGGAGCACTTGACTAGAATTCAGGCAACCTGGGTTAAAATTCCAGCTTCATCATTTCATTTCAGTTATCTGGGTCGTGGTTTCTTTCTCTGTAAAACAAGGACAATATCTGCTTTGACTATCTTTACAGTATTTTTGAGGATGAAATTAGAAATTCAATGTGGAATGATTTTGAAACACATAAAGGGTTTACTATGACATTAATGATTATGATTATATACACATACATATTCAAAATTGCCAATTTATAAAATACCTACCAATAAGGGGACATGGCACACATATATACATGAATTCATATTTCCAAAATACCTGTTTTCTCCGACAGCTCCCTGAGCGATATAATGAATAATTCTCTTACACAGCTCATATTTGGTAATTTACCAAGGTTTATTTTCTATTTCTGAAAAGCACATATATTCTGCAGCTAGAATAATAAAAATGTTGCAATACAACATCACTTGATTTTTTTGGCCGCTATATCTGACATAGTTCTTTCCAGAAGCTATTATAGCCCTAAGAAATGCACTAAAGCCCAGAATGAATTGGCTCAAGTAGATTAATGTTATAAGCAAATGCTACAGGCAATAGTGGGGAATAAAAGCAGTTAAGGCTTGGTAACATCTAGCATAGTGGGATAATAATATATATTATTTCTATAATTGTGATTCATGTGATATAAGTGATAAAATGTACTTTCAAATGACTAGTTTCATAAAATATTACTTTTATTGGTCTCATTTATTTATATATTACCAATCTATATTAACATACCAGCTAATTTAGTGTCTACAGCCAGAAAAACAAAAAATGCCACATAAATTGTTGCATGTAATTTTCATGTGTTTGATAAAAGTCATGAGATTAACAAAAAAGGAAGATAATTATAATATTTAAAAGAATTAGGTCACCTCAGCAGCACAAGATAGTTTTTTTTTGTTTTTTTTTTTGCAAAAACATAACTTCCAGTGAGAAAAGAAACTTAATCTTTTAAGAATATTAGTAATTATATAAACATACTTCTGTGGAATTTAACATTTCATGATCAGAAGGAATTGGTATATTGGTAATTTGTGATTTTTTTTCACAATTTTGAATAAAGGACCAACTGCTTTACAGAAACATATTTGCATTTCATTTGAAATGCCAATTGACATCTTGACTTGCATTTCCATAGTGGTCTGGATTTTCCACTTTTTCATACTATTTAACCCATCTTCCTATGACTCATTCAAAACTACACTTGATCTTAGCCAAAAGGCTGAAAAGCGATATAACTCATTCAAAACTGTTTCTGAGTACCTACTATGTGTTATAAGTATTTAGATGAAAACAATTTTAAAAGTGGATAAGTAGTTGCCTGTATTTCCAAAATGTTCACAGTCTAGAATGGTCCTCAAATATTATAGTTCATAAGAATTACCCAAAGGGCTTATTACAACAGAAATTTCTGAATCTACTCTTCTTCCCCCAATGTGCATAGGATGCTGATTTAGCAAGTGTGGGATGTGAGGCTGAGAGTATTTCCAGCAAGTTCCCACGTGATGCTGATGGTCTACAGAACAGACGTCGAGAAGCACTAGTCTAATGAGTGGGTACAGACATGCTAACAGAAATAAAAGGCAACACAGTCCATAAAATGACAGATTATTGTAAATTGTTATGCTAGAACAGAAAATAGAGTGACTATATTTTAATGGAAAGTGTCAAAGAAAACGTCACAGTGATCATAAATAAGCAAGGAAAAAGTATTACAGCAAAATATTTGGTCTTTTTTTTCCCCATGAAGGTTACATCAGGAGATTTATGCAATAGTCCAAGTAGAAAGATATGAAAACTGTACTAAGACTGTAGCAGTATGGATGACAAACATCACCTGTCTTCCCAGTGCCTCCCTATATGAAGCCAATGAAATGTCTACTTTTCAACTGTCACACCTGAATCTGAATAATAAGTGGAACAATTAAATGCATTTTAAGCCTAAACTGCACCCCTGCTTGTGTGGCAACATGTTGTGTGGCTGCTGTTGGAATTTTTCATATTACATCCTTAATTGTGGGCATTTAACAAATAGCTTTTTATTATTAAGATACTGCTGAATTGTATTGTCTATGTGACCATAGGAGAAAGCTAATAATCACCAGCACCAGAAGCAGCCTGTGGTTTTATATTTCATTGAGGTAAATTACACTGGAATCAGAGTGGATTACTTTTATCAAATGAGGAATAAGCTGTTAATTAACTCCCCACTGTAGCAAATCTTTTTCTCAGATTGCAACTGTTGCTAGGTCCAGATTAAACTGTTGAATTAATTTCTGACTTACTATTTCAAGAGTTTTTAATTTACCTGGCAGCAGTTTTAATGGGAAATTGTATTAGTGAACATAAATTGTTTTGCGGAAGGGTAAACAGTTAGTGATAATGTTTATTAAGTTGTTTTGTTTGAGCAAAAATATAATTGCAGTTTTAATTAGTGCATGGTTGTTGGAGTATTAGGCTTGAGATTACATTATGGCTTTCTGAGAAAACAATTACTCAGGCGATCTCAGCATATTTAACTGATAGAAAATATAAATGTGATGTCAATATAGCATTTACTTTGATTTTGTACCATATTTGAGGAAAGAAAATATCTAAGTATTTCTCCACTAATTATATTAAGGTTTGTTTTCTGCTCCCAAATATCACTGTCTGCTGTGACATGTACATACTGACATAATGCATTTGAAAGGTTAACTGACATAATTTTAAAAATTAGAAGGTTCAGATTCCTTTAGGGTAGCACAAAAAATGTGTAAATGAGAACAATTTATTTAAATAATGTATTTTTGTGATTTGTTATTGGATATAATGTTGACAATACTATCTATGATAACACCAATAATAATAATGTATTATGCTCATATGATGTTTTACAGTTAGATCAATGAATATTGAACTTACAAGGAATTTAGGAGATGGCAGCACATAGTGAAAGTTGAAGTCTAGAGAAAAGACTTGTGGAAAGATGTAGAGATATCAAATGACTGAAATAAAAAAATATGGAGTTATTTACAAAAGAACATGTAAATATAACTATATGCTCACTTAAACCAACATTTTTTGCTAGTGTGTTTGATCATTTTTTAAATTTTTATTTCAATGTAATATAAATA